TTCCTCATAGGCAGAAGGCTTGTTGCTCTCCCACCTCCCACAGCTTCGACTCAATCAACTTCTAGCAAATCCAATCTAGAACAAGGATGGAAGCAAAAAAATTCCCTCTTAGAAAGAATATGGAAAAAATGGAAATCTTCGTATCTTCTAGAACTAAGAACAGCCCACCAGTTAAAGAGACAGAAAGAAAATGTTCTACCAACCAAAGACTCAACCGTCCTAGTGTACGACGAGAAACTTCCTCGACTCATGTGGAAAATGGGGATTGTCACCTGTGTCCATCCTGGACGTGATGGAAAGACTCGATCGTGCACAATTAGACTTTCTAACGGAACTAATTTAAAAAGACCAGTTCAACTACTATATCCTTGTGAACTTGGCTAAGACTCAAAAGGACCGAAAACTGTTTGTCCAATGGTCCTTTGGGGCCGGAGGATGAAACAGATTAACTTTAAGGCCAACAGATGGCGCTCAGACTGAACACATATAATGAATATTAATGTTTTTATTTTGTTTTAGTTTGATTTCCATAGCTTCGTTAAAGAAGATCGTTTTGTGTAATGTCCGTCCTGTCATTAAATTTGTTATATTGTTAGAATTCGTTTTCTTTTAAACACAAGCGAAGAAGATTTGTAGAAGCGAAGTCTGGTAAATAGATAAGATCCAGGTAGGAAAGAACATTTGAACTTATTTCTATTCTATTTCTTTAGGAGGAAAATGAAGTCAGAAAAATCGAGAATATATCTTGCTAAATGCAGCAGAATTGCACGTGAGAGTTTAAGAATCTCACCGAACCCAGCTCGGTAGATGCACATAAGGACTCGCAAGTATTTCATCAAACATTCAAAATGATTAGTACTTTCATACGCTATGAACCGACGGTACACCGAAATGGATTATGGTTAGATGAATTGTGGAAATGGTGAATAGAACAATGCGAAAAGCACACTTTTGCATAACACTTGGCGAAAATCGACATGGTAAAGAAAAAAAATCTCACATTTGAAAAGCATTTTTCGAAAAGAAAATTAAGCACTTTTTAAAAACACTCAATGAAAAAAGCACCTTTAGGGGCTTTTAAAAAAATTAGGAACATAAGAAGAGATCCATAGTTAACGATTTATCTAAACATAACAAAGCCAAAAATGAGGTCAACCCCTCGTAATCAATGTTAAATTTAAAAATAATTTGACGAAAGCTAATCGCCAAAAAAGACTGCGAGAAGTAGTATAACCATGTAAGTGAAAAAATTTTTGTGATGAGAAACAAAGAGTTATAAATAGATTTTGTTTTTTTTTATTCCGTAGAGACAGTGAATTAATGAGTTTTACATTTGTATTGAAATAAAAAGCTAGCCGCTACATTGATTGTTGAGAAAAGAATAAAATATTCATATTAGCTTTTCATAAAACGTGATAACAGTTGGTGAAAAGTCGATTTAATTAAAATTCGATTAAGAAAGATTTTAAACAAATTTAGTTTAAGAATATTTTAAAAGCTAAGAAATATGCAACGTCTATTATGGCATTATATAAACAGTAATTGTATTGTTTTAGTGTGTTTGTTAACAGCATTTTTAATGCTAACAGTATAACTAATTTACCATCTATTATCACTGTATTGTTAACACAAAAGCCTATTTGATGTACTTAGTTTTATTATTTGACGTTCGGGATTTTATTGACACTGGTGTATCTTTAAAAGACTCGCGTTTTTCCATAACTGTAACCCTCGGGGGGGGGGTACTGGATCGGAGATTGGTCGTTTTCTTGTGCAGGTCAAAATTACGATCTGTGGATGAATTTTGTTTTATTTTATAACCGTCGTTGAACTGCCAACCCAATTTTTTCGGGTTAGCAACTAAAAATGCTCAACTCCGTAGCCTTATAATTCCAGAAGACAAGGGAACTCCAGGATCAAGTATTGGTAGAAATTTGACTTCATGTAGGACTTTTTTTGATGAAACTAGCCCGCATTTGAGTTAAATAGAGAAGAAGACCACGAGAATCTCCCACGGTTAGCCTAACGGCAAGGAGACTCTAAATCATGATCCGTCTACCACTAAATATATTTCACGTCAGCACTGTGGTCGGTGAAAGCAGGATATCTGTGGATGTATGAATGGGTCCGCCCTATAAACGGGTGTGATGTTTGAGTGTGGCAGAAGTCGAATTCTGGGCCATAGATGGCGCCACTGGAAAATCAAGAAAAATCGCACCCTTCGTCTGAAGGACTTTCGACAACAACAATTAAAAATGGCTGTCGAAGTCTAAACTTTCACTGAAACTAATATTTATTAAACTTGTCGTTAGACACTCAGTTTAACTGACTAACGTTATGAAGGACTTTTTATAAATTATTTTCACAAATTCGAATCTCAGAAGCTACATTTTTTTCTTTTGGAACAAAAATGTTTTCTCAAGATTTTTTTCTTTTTTAATTGTAACGTAGAATTTAGCTTTAACATTTCCTTAATTATCTCATTAAAAAAAATTACTACCGCCAACACCGCTGTTTTTGGAAAATTTTCGTTGAGAAATATTCTCCCTATCATTACTCAAAAACTAGTCAATGAAATGATAAGAAATTTTGTACATTTCTAAAAAAAAAGTTAGATACTGAAATGTTATCGATACGGTGACCCCTTAAGTTATTTTACGTCAAAGTTGAATATTTCTTTTTTTTTTTTTATTGTTGCGTAATTCAGTCTAGCGAAAACTATTAACGGGAAATTAGGATTTTTTGCAGCCTTTTAGTCTTATGTTTGCAGACACTCAACATTCGCTTAAATAGTGAAATATTTAAGCAGTTAATGTTTGACTCTAATGTACAGATTTTTCGATGTGAAAAAACTAATCGCGGGGAAATAATACTCCCTCTGTCCCAAATTAGTTGTTTTATTTGAATACTTGACTGAATAACTTTTTTTGAAACTTCATTTGAATACTTCATTTGAATAACTTTTTTTGAAAAATCAAAAATATTAATTTTACCGTTATAAACTTTTAAGAGTCCTTTATACACTTTTAAAACTTTACTTTATAAACAAAACTAATTCATAAACTTACTTTATGAACTAAACTATACATATAACTTTATAAACTAAAACTTTTTCTTAAAATTGCGTAATTTTAGTATACGTTTATTTTTTATCTTTTAACGTGTATTCCAAAATGTCAAGTTTTCTTTCCTTTTCGAATAAATTGAATTATGTGGAAATATTTCTTTTATTATTTATCTATTTAGTTTTACAACTGATATAATTGAAATTGACTTACTTTATAAACTAAACTATAAATAAAACTTTATAAACTAAAATCTTTTTTCCTAAAATTGCATAATTAGTACATGTTTATTTTTTTTTCTCTTTTAACATGTATTCCAAAACATTAAGTTTTCTTTTCTTTCTCGAATAACTCAAATTTCGTGAAAATATTTCTTTAAGTGTTTATCTAGTTAGTTCCACAACTGATATAATTGAACAAAATATTATTGAAAAATTTTCCTTTCATAATATTTTGTTCAATTATTATAATATAATTATTAGATGAGGTATTATTAGAACAGAAGTTTTATTAGGTTAGAACAAAAGTATTATTAAAACAAAGTTCTCTGAACTTTGATAGCAACGGATTAAACAATGCTCTGTTTAGAACTAAAAATCTCTTGTAATAAAAATTTTTTTGTTTCAAATAAAAATGCCGCATTACTAATATATTTTGAATTAAAATAAAAGCATGTCCAGTCTCATTTTCTTGCTCCTTTCCGACATTCCTCCATTAGAAAGTCCCCGTATATCGTTAATCTTCTAGACATTTCCAGTTGTTCTTTAAAGAGTGAAGACGTTTAATTTAAAATCTTCTAACCAGTTGATTTAGAGAAAGAAGAAATATTCCCAGACAGAATTCGAACTATTCTTGAAATTTAAGAGGGGGAAATGTGCGACAACTAATAGAAAAAAGATAATTAAAAAGTAACAGTTACATTGAAAAATGGTAAACTCAATACGAACTGTGAATTGGAATTGATATTGATTTAAAGTTTCAAAAATATTCTTAAAAACTGCTTTCAATCAAATGGTTCGTGACTTACCTAATTTAAAATATTCAATTAAATACATTAATAAAGATTATTCTAAAAACGAGTAATTTGTAACTCACTAGCGATTCATTAATAACTAGTAACTAAACTCCAATGCATTTCGAAATTTTCTAGGAATTTAGTTAGACAATGGGTATAAAATTTTTATTGATTCAAGTAATAACAAGGCATGAATGTTTTATCGTTTGGCATCGTTCGCGTTTGTAAAGGCGTGATGAAAAAAGATTCTATTTCACTCGATTTCTGTTTCAATATGTGTTCCATGCTTTTCTAATCCTAATTAATTAGTTTAAATTACAAGAGAAATCAAGTTTCATATTAAGCCACAAAGCTAAACAATGTCTCCGATTACGAATAACTGATTAGAATTTGCAGAAATGCCGAGCAAAACTGAACTAAAAGAGCTTGTAAAATTCAATAGTAAGTGTTTTTATTCTGAAAAATTTAAAAATCACTTTTCTTGCTTTTAAATTGTTTGGTTGTTTTTCACTTTAAAAAACTAAATAGTGTAAACAGATAACAAAATTGTCTTAGGATTACTTTAGTGCGAGATAATAAAATTTTTTACCATTTTTTCAAAACTTTAACAAAAAAACACTATGTTTTTATTGATATTTAAAAAAATAATAAATAAACTATTGTTTAACTAATAAACGCTATTCAAAAAAAGGGAGGAAAAGCTTTAGGATTCTTTAATTTATTATACTTGGAGAAAGTTTTGCAAGCACGATGCACAAATTTTGAAAAAAGTGATCACTTTTAACTCTCTTTATAAAGAGAATAAGCGTCTCAAGCTTAACATGATTTTTCGAAACTTTTTGGACAATGGACAATGTCGCAGTCACAAGTAACAAGTCAACTGTTCAATCTGGACCATCCATCGAAGTAGGCGTGTTCAAATCGTAGTGATCGTTTCTACCAAGGTAGGCGGGTTCACATCACGCCCGGGTCACCAATGTGGGGAGAGTAGAATTCGACCCTGTCAACCGTCATCTGTGAAAATGTACCCAACACAGAATCGAGTTATCATATCTTATATACTAGTGAATTGGAATTATATTTTTGTAGAGGTAGATACACTACCTGTAATATTTTTTGCACAAATTAGTTAGCACATTTAAAATGAATTAAAAACTTTAAAATTGCATTTAGTATGTGAAACTCCGAACATAATTTATTCTAGTGTTTCACTTTTTTTTGTAGTACCAGATGCATTGCATTTAAGNGAATTATATTTTTGTAGTGGTAGATACACTATATTTTTTGCACAAATTAGTTAGCAC